AATGCAGGACCTCATGTTGACCGAAGCCTGTATGTCAGCTGCCCCCATCATGGCCTAAGGGACAATGGCTCCCACCTCCTTTCTGCCTCCCAGACCCCAGGTGAATGCGTATCATTGGCAGAACCAAAACTGTGTCCCAGAGCCTAGCTGTTGAGGGAGTTTGGGGAGTAGTCCCCAGGCTCCAGCCTCTTTGATTTGGGGGAGAGTAGAGAGAAGGGGTGGGGATGGGACCAGGTGCCAGACAACATCCATCATTATCTACTGTCTTTGGCCACCTGACAACCTCTTACACACTTACATTTCCAAACTGCAGTAGGAATGACACCAGGCTTCTGTAACTATCCCTCATTCAAAAGCATATGTACTCACCTTCTCATCAAAATGGGAGACCCAAAGTCCTGTCAGTAATTACATCCACTGTTAGCTATATCCCTCCTCTTCTAGTTCATTGGCACATTCACCTAGGTGTCATGCAGCCTAACTACTAAATGAGAAGTTTCACCAATTCCAACTCACCTGATAAAGTAGGAGAAAATAAGAGAATAAAAAGGAAATTGCATACACACATAAACAAGCAAGAAAATATGCACACCCTGGCCATCCTTTTTGCAACTGGTCATGAGACTACAGTTACCATTTATAACTTCCGTCTTCCACTAGGAAACCCCTATTTCCTTGGTGTTTGGCCAGCATCACACGTGGCTAGAGTTCTTTGCCTAGTGAAGTAATTAGACATCTTCATTCCTGAGGGGCTTCTGATCTGTGTTGTGATCCTCTAATCTACTAACTTCTACTATCAGCAATTTCTAGGAGGTATTCTAGAGAATCTCATGAGTTCCAGACATAGTCCTCCCTGCCTCATGGAATAGTAAAAATCCAATCTCCTCTTGGTAGTCAGGATCAATCACTCCAGCCAGGATAGTAACTCACTTCATTGCTTGTTGATTCAGAAGCATGAGGTGTCCCAAGGGCCCGGTGGCAGACAATGGAATGATGGCTATGTTCACTGGTGGAAACAAAGATCCCTCGAGAACTAAAACTTCTAAACTAGCGGAGCCCAAAATCACAAGGATGAGAAGCAACAACATTTTAGATGTATGAATGAGAGGAGCCATTTCTACTTCCACTTCTTGGTCCCTGAACCCAAAAAAGCAGCACCATATGCTGTTGCTAGTTGGGAGCACTTACCACATGCACAGAGAATTTAAAAATACTACAATCCAGATGGTGCACTATGGTAGACTAGGTCCACAATGGGATGGATTCAGGTCATGATGCCACTTGTCACCTGATCTTCCATGCACTGAATTATGTGTTATTGTCCACTGTCACCTCCCCCCACCACACACACACACATACACACACACACACTCCCAAAATGCATGTGCTGCATCCCTAACCTTCAATGTAATGGTATTTGGAGATGGGAACTTTGGGGGATAATCAGGTTTGAATGAGGTCATGAGGGTGGAGCCCTCATGATGGGATTAATGTCCTTATAAGAGGAGATACCAGAGAGCTTGCTTCACCTCTCCCTGCCATGTGAAGACACAGTGAGAAGGCAGCCTTGTGCAAGACATGAAAAGAGCCCTCACCGAGGAACTCAATTGGACGGCACTTTGATCCCAAGGTTCCCAGACTCCAGAACGATGGGAAATAAATTCCTATTGTTCAAGTTACCCAGGCTATAGTATTTTGTTACAGCAGCCTCAGCTAATACACCCGCATAAATCCCCGTCCAGACTGGTAGACTGCGTGCATTTTGGATCCTAGGGGCTATTATTAGCTCAGAAACAATAATCAGCCTAGAGTGTGGATATCTCTTTTTCCCCACTGTGTAGTCTCCCTTGCGTAAGGGGCAGAAGGAAGACTGACCATACCTACTTGTGCCAAGGTTGTAAACATCTTCATCTAAAGGGCTCTGGTTCTGAGAACTGGGTCACATAAGGGAACTGGGTAAGAGGCCATGATTCTCTATTGCAATGGAAGTCAAGTCTCTGTTCACCAGACCATAGTTTTTTTTTTTTTTTATAAAGATAATGTAAAACTTTAGTTTTAGGCTGTCCACTTCTACTGATCCTAGAGACCCCGTGATCAGTCAGCCAGTGTCGAAAGTCTCTACACGTCAAATCTTCCTGATTACTACTGTAGCCCTGTTGGCCAATGTAGCAAACGAAACCCACAGTGACTCCAGTAGTTAAGTGGCATCAAAGACCCCATTTTAATCACATCATGTCCCACCCAACACTCCTGACTCTCCTGGCCTCTGGATATGATAATTATATTATATACATTATACTAGGGAAGTTCTGACCTTCCAACACTATTGAATGTAATCCACCACTGATTCTAGTTTTCATTTAATCAAACTGCTGGAGCTAATACACCAAACCCAGAATCTCTGATAGGAACAGTCGTATCGATAAATTCAGCATCAACCCAACACTATATTCTCCTCTCCCTCGTCCAGAAACTTAGGTCCTAATCCTACACATATTCCTCGCCAAGTTTCTGTGAATATAAATGAATAAAATCTTACAAGTCTTTTCCTATTTTAGCTGTATCTCCCCAGGTTGGATTTTCTACCTATCCTCCTGAGACATGATGAGATTTGGCTACTTTTCGGCTTCAAGATAAAGATAAAGATGAATGGAGTAGCAGTGGGGCATGAATGCATCTGGTACCCTCTACCTGGAATCAGATTGCTACTGACTCTCCAAGCAAGGTAGGACCGACCTTATCAGACAGGGAGGGGGGCTACTTCTGCGGGAGGGCAGGCTCAGTGGAGTTTGTAGGGTCTAGGTGTTCTGATTCATTTCAGTCTACCCAATGTCACCATTTCATCTTTTTCTATCAATGCTTAACCTTTAAGCTAAGAGATCTGATGTGGCTGTGAATTCAGCTTACACTGGGATTCTGCAACCTGTAGCGTCTGACACTTGGCTACATTAGCCCTGTGGCTGTAAGAGATGGGAGTCTTTTAGGGCAGTCACAGAAGGTTCCTGATTCACCCATCAAGACCTGAGATAAAAACTTTAAACGATGAGATTGGCGTTTTTTCCCTTATGCAATTCAATATGGCTTAAACACAGATATGTCATAACTTACATAGTCTAGTTGCTTATTAATGATTTTTCAACTTTTCCAATAAATTCCTAACTCAGGCCCAGATTGAAGTGACAAGAAAGTCTGTAAGGCCCCAGAATTGCACCAGACTAGCATGACAGTCCTCTACCCCCCGGACATGCTAGGGCTGTTAGAGTTCATCCAAAGCACTTGGCTCCTACTGCACTGGGTCTTCCATAGCATCTCAGGACCTGAGCGCAAACCGACTTCCTGGAGTGGTGGGGGCTGGGGAGATGCTTTAGCCACTCAAGCTCAGAGGACAAGAAGAGCCCGTCTTACTGGCCCACAGGCCTGCGTGTCTTCCAGCCTTGCAGGGAGTCCCCTCAAGGAGGGGAGAGCTCATTTCCATAATGAAAACTGGCAGAATTTAATGTGACATCTGTCCAGATGCAATCTTCCTTTAAATAAAAGGCACCAATATGTGTTTATGCTCAGGAAGCTCACTGTATTTTAACATGAAGGAGTTTGGCCATTACATTCAATTTAAACATCCTGAAATTCAGTTTTCCAGGTGATGTGTTATGCATTTTTTTCACAGCTCACTGAGCCCATTTGCCTTACCTTCTCAAGTGTTTAAAAGGGCAACATGTCTTAATGGAAATGACAAATTTGCCAATGTATGCCGTCAGCCCCCTCTGAGCCTGCTTATAATCATTTCTTTGGGCTGAAAATTCTTCTCTGCTCATGCATTTCTAACCTACAATCATTCTGAAGACCAGGATACAATTTAAAAGCCTTGAGGTTCTCAACTGGAAAATACAATTTATCGTGTGGCTCCAGTTCAGGGCAGATTTTCCCCACAACTCTGCCCTGAAACAGAGGCCCATCGGTACCCTCATCAAGTAGCCCCAGCATCACTGCGGCTCTCAGAGCTGGAACAAAATGCATGCAAAGTTTCTTCTAACCCAGGACTTCCAGAGGGAGAGTTTAAAGAAGCTGCCTCTAAGACTGTTTTAATTGTGCCTTGTACAAACATTCAGAGAACAAAGTACTCTTTCGCCATAAAAGTAGATGCCCGCCATTTGCTTTCCCCAGGGCTATTCCCTGAGCACAGGCAGAAAGATAAAAGTTCTCATCCTTGGCTTAGTAAGTCCCTGAAAGCAAAACCCTCTTCTGAACAGCAAGGCAGACACACCAACTGAGTGCTGTGTGCGGAAGACTCAGGGGCCAACTGGTTGATAAGCACGGAAGGCAGAATCCCCACCAATCACTTTTAGGGGAAGAAAATTAAATAGAGGCAGAGATACGGTGGGTTCTAGCTTCACCCCTACTCTCTGCTAAGTCTAACTTCAAAGCAGCCACTTAACATTTTTCAGCCCCAGCTTTTTCTCCAGTCAAACGATAGATCAAATCTCGTTCCTCCCTTAGGAGTTTGTAAGAGGCTATGTCAATGTTGTAAGTCAACTTGGGGCGAGCTCAAAATATTATTAGATTATCTAGAAGCGTACGGAATGTTGGGTTAAAAGCCACATTCATAAATCTCTCAAGATCCCCAAGGGAGGCAGAGTTTTCGTACAACCAGAGCAGAGATGCTGAATAAAAGGGGTGGTGGGGATGCGGATTTCTAAGACAGAGGGAGGGGGGCTCTATATAGAACTTGTAAATAAAACATCTCACTCAACTCCCCCTGATCAATCAGTGAGGGATTACAACTCCCACCCTGTCTACCTTTGTGGGTTATCCTGAGGATCAAGGTCAGAACAGAATAATGGAGGGGAAAGCACATGGGTAACAAAGAGAAAATATTTATCAACTGTAAAAACCTTAGTTACAAATAAAACATTGTTCCAATTCACAGGGGCAACTTCAAGCCCAAGACCCAGGTGACTGCCCAGAGGGGCAGAGAGAGCCTGGACTCGGAGACGAGTGACTACCTGATGGTGGTGCCCTGCAGTCGGTCTATCTTCTTGTTGAGCTCCGCAATGATGCTGTGGAGTTCTGTGATGCGTTCCTCGTACCGAAGTGTCGTTCGCTCCTGGACGTCCTCATGTTCTCTCATGAGGTGGGACTGCTCACACTGGGGTCAAGAGGACAAGACAGGAGTGGCAGTGAGTGGACGCACTTACAGGTGAGTGATTCTAGTTCTACGGCCTCAAATACACAACCACATGTTGAGTACACCCCCAATAAACACATACCTGCTCATTATTATGTAAATGAGATTAAATGCACGGTGACTGGTGGGGGGTTGAGGAGTGAGAGACACATACCTGCTCATGGGCCACGCTTCCCAGAAGACACATCAACAGCTGAACTTTACAAAGCCCCTGGTGGAAGTCGAGTCTTCACCTTCCTAGCTCTCATTTGCTCTTTGGGGGAAGGTCCCTCTGCCACTGCATGTGGTCTTTGTGGCTCTATCCAAGTGTCCTGCTTTTCCCTAGCGAAAAAGTGGGCAAGTGGCCCAAGCTGGACACGTCAGATACCTTCCTTTTGGAATCTGAGTCTTGACTGAATGAACCTAAGCTTGCATGGTGTCAATTCTCATGACTGAGGGTCCTGATGAGATTGTCACTTAGTTCCTTCCCACCACCTCCATCCCCAGAGCTTCCTTCCCAGGATCCTTTATGGTTGCTCAGTTTTCCTTTTTTCAATTCAATCCTTTTTTTGCTGAAGTTTGCTGGGGTATGTTTCACCCACTTTGCAACCTAATAATCCTAAATTGTATGACACCATTTCCTACCTGTCTGGTTATCTGCAGACATAATGCTTTCCAATATCCTTTCCCATCAGATTGTAAACTCCGGGAAGGCAGGGCCTGGGTGTTCTCATGACTTAGCCCCAGCCCCTGGCACATGGCCTGGTTCACTGTGGGTGATCTGGAGGTACGATGGGATGAATAAACTGCAATGTATCACACTGTCAAGGAGGTGGCTTTGCAGAGACAATGACAAAAGAAGGCGAGGAGCTTCCCTTGCTTAGCATTTGATGCACTAGGAAACAGCAGATGCTATAAAAACATCTTTGGAGCTCGAGTTTAAATTCTAGGGAACCTGTTCATCTCTTTTCTCTCCCTCCTCAACCCCCCACCAGTCACCGGGCATTTCATCTCATTTACATAATAATAAAACACCAGTCAGAGATAGAACAAGGAGTCTAGCTTGTCCCTGTCTACTGTGTTCAGCCCTGATTAATTTCCTGTCCAGCAGAGGAATTTTAATTTCATTTTCAGCAAGGTTTTCCTAATGCCAAGAGCCATATGTACTGGCCAGCTTTGCACTTTCAGGGCTGGTGGCAGGTGGGCCAGGGTAAGGCTTCTCACCCACCACCTCCAACGTCCTCCCCCCTCCCTAAATCTGCCAGGCTTCCAACTGTGTAACCCAGAAGCTGTTGGGCAGGGACAAAAAGCCTTCAAAAACAAACAGAAAGCTACAGTCAGCTCAACTCAATACTGAAACAGAAGTACTCAGCAAAGTCTGATGAATGTGTTGGTATAAATCATGGCAGGGACCACACCTATGAACAAGAACTTGATAAATATGAATGCAGAAACTTCCTCAGTGCTGCTCAGAGCTCCAGAAATAAGACTGGAGGCACTAAGGCCGAGGAATCTGTATTATGGTCCTTGGTGAGATGGTTACTTTCAGACAAACAATGATGTGAACTTCTGTTCTTAGTGACAACCTGAAACATCAAATAACCTCCACTCCAGGTCCAACACACAGGCAATAAGTGGAACCAGAGGCAAGGATGAAGGATGAGGAAAGGCACATCTACACAGAAGTTTTCCTGAACAGAACAAAACCTTAACAGGACACAAATACTCTTTCTGTGAAGTAATGCCTTTTCAGCCACAAAGTGACAGTGTCTCATACACAGTATCTGCCAGGTAAGTGGAAGAGCTTCATATTTCCTTGGAATATACCAACAGCAGAATACTGTTCCTCTCCATCCCTGCAGAAGATCTATGAGCTTTGGTTACTGGTCTTTATTCCTATCTTCAAACTGTGTATGTGAGTGTGTGTGCGCATGTCCACACACGTACCCGTGTGTGTGCTGTATGCTGTATGTATACGTGCGTGTGTGGCCGACACTCTCGTGAAGGTCACCAGTTCCGGACCTCACAATGACCACGAGATAATGCCCGGTCTGACCTGGACCTTGTCAATGTCACGATTACTTGGCCATCTTGCTAGTTCTTGCTTTAGGTTTTCCCCCTACATTTGGTTCTCTAGGGCAATCAACTACTGTGAAACGCTTCTCCTTACCAACTCCACGAACTCTCACTCTCCCTTCAATTCTCCACTTACTCCTCCTCCTTCAGTGTTTACAGGCCAACAGGCCACCACCACCACCAAGGCTGAAAGAAACTGCAAAATCCACTTAAAAATTAAGACGCGCCATGTTTACGCAAGGAAAAGGCATAGGATCAACTGCTAACCACGAGACAGCTCTGGGTCTCGCTGCTGACTGTGAGGAGCTGTCTAGGAGGTGAGCTCCTTTCCAGGAGGTGAGCTCCTGGGACTGGCTGGTGCCCGGATAAGAAGAGCACCACAGTGGGTGTGGTACCGCCCTCACCCCTGCCTCCAACAGCAAAGTCTGCCCGGAGACTATGCGTAGGAACGAGACACAACAGGAAGCCTGATGATTCAGTCAGACAGAACAGCGCGTGTAGCTGAAAGGAGAAACAAGATTCGTAATGTCTGTTTGGAACTTGGGGGTTCATCTGGGAGTAGCAACAAGAACATCTTGGAGGAAAGAATCTCTCAAAGGCAAAGCGATCTGGGTTACATTCCTAGATTTTTCCCTACGTATGTTTTTTTTTCCCCAAATGGTAGAAATGCCTCTATAATTTAATACTTTCTCTAAAAATAAGAGATGTGTCTTGATTTCCCAAACCATCTAAGAGACTGTGCGAGGTGCCATAGGAAGGGTCCCCATGACATGACGCCCACCTTAAAGGGCCATGTGGCGGCAGCTTCCAAGTGACATCTCTGCTGGTGAATAAGAAACATGGACAAAAATGGGGGTGGGGAGAAGAAGTGTTGGTAGAACGGTATCCCGGTGAAAAGAGAATACAGGAAAATAATCAAAACTCCTAGCCTCCAGAGGAATGAATGACTGAGAAGACATAACCCAAGGGTCATCTGCGAAAAGCAACATCCCCTTGAGGTACCTCACTAAACAGGCTTCACCCATTCTGCACACGCTCGCTGCCCCTTGCCAAAGACATGTGGAAGCACTGCTCTCCAAGCTCGGTGAAAACCCCTTGAGCTTTTCCAAGCTGTGATGCAGGGAAAAGTGTAGCAACTCCCATAGGGCAGCAATGCAGGAGGAAGCAAGTCATTACCTGCAGGAGCCCAGAGAACTCAACAAAACACCCTTGTGAAACAGCTCCCTTAACTTACCCGAGACCACACCCAGGAACCTGGCACTTTAGTGCAGGAGAAGTGGAAGATGACCGGGTGGCATCCAGGGCAGGCAGAGCCATTCTGTGCACGATCAGTGCCTTCCTGCCCTGCCGACCTCCCACACAAGCAGGACTGGCCTGTGAAAGGGAGACCCAACTCTATCATCTCGCTGCAGTATCGCTACTGACCTGTGCCTCTCACCACCCGAGTCTCCGAGGGCATTTTTTAACCCAGGAGGCTGTGTGATTTCAGGCATTCTGTTTCACAAGGACACAGGCTGGGCCAAGCTGTATACTGACGTCCATGGAAGAGTCACCTCTGGGCAGGTATCTCAGTAAAGCCTCACCGAAGAAGGGACTATAATAACGACGACTCAACAGGAAAAGAAGAGTATTTCTCCTATGACTACTTAATGCTTGCACAAATTGTTCAATTCTAAGTAACCAGTTTAGGTACATTATAGATGTTTTTAAAGAATGATAAAACGACATCCATTTTCTTACAATCCATGAACACAATCTGTTTTCAAACGGTGTTCATTTTTCTCCAGTATTTTCTTACATAAGTGGGACACTGCCAGGACCACAGTGTGGGGTGCATATTACAGAAGCCCCAGCACCCCCGCGGCAGCCAGCAGGGGTGTTCACCAAGACTCTGGTGCACCTCCATCCATGGACATGGTGGGACTATATTTCTCCTCCGCCTTGAAGCTAGATAAGGCCATGTGACTTGTTTTGTCCAATTAGATATGAATGAATATACACCATTTCTGCCTGGAAGCCTTTAAGAGCTCCTGTGGGGTTTCCCACATCCCCTTCCCCTGGCCGTGGCTGTTGGCAACATTCTACATGGGAGAGGCTATTGGCTTGGGAGGCTGGGTGAGGACAGAACAACAGAATTACATGCCAGCCCCAGGGAGCTTCTAGCAAGAAGCAAAAAAATAAACTTTTGATACTTTAAGCCATTGAAAATGTGGGGTTATTTGTTATCCTGCACATCCTAACGATACAGCTGTTTTATCGATGAAGACAGAGTAAGTGTACAGTAACAGATTTATCTGTTATAATCCAGATAACAAACAGAACGCTCTGGTAACCTTCTGGTTCCTGTTCATGCCATCAAGGGGCCGAGGCGCTCCCTTCTACTCTCTCCCAGCCCTGTCCTGTGGGCTTACCTCCTTCTTACTGTTTACCTAAATACCTCAAGTGGCAGCAGAGTGATCCCTACCCTGAATCACCTCTGGTGAACCCCGGGAAACGTGAACATTATGCCGTACAACACCAGAGGAGAGCCAGGACACCCTAATAGCTCTCTCCTTAACCCCCTGGGAGCACCAAAATAGAAACGTAGACACAAGGGGATACAAAGCAGAGAATTCTAAGTCCCTCCAGCTCCCACCAACCCAGCTGTAGCTGTCGACGTCAAGCATTCAGCAACAAACTTCTAAACAGAACGCAATGGCGGCTTCTTCCAGCAAAACTCACAAATGAGGTAATCTTTTCTACTCCTTACTGTGGCAAACTATCTCATACAACTTCAGCTGAACAAAATAAGAAATGGTCTCAAACAACACGCTACTGCTTTTTTCCCCTATTATTACAGAGAATTGTATCCAGGGTTCTCCAATCCACATCCCATCTTTGATTGATCCAACAGTACAGCGAAGCCA